ATAGCCAACGGTCGATTGAAACCCAGTCTCTCGTCCTGCACAGCCCCCACCCCAGTTGCTGGGACACCTGGTTTTGATCTGCCGGGGCGAGGGTAGCTGGAGAGGGTGCCCCAGGCGGACCCAAGGGGGCGCAGCTCCCAAAGGTTCCCGCCGTCGCCGGGCAGGGGGTGCTGGAGCCAAGGGGAGGGCGCGAACCCGGGTCCTGGCCCAGTGCCCTGGAGCAAAGTTCCCGGGAGCTGAGGAGCCAGGATGAATTATCAACCGAAAACCGTGCGGGATAAAGGAGGGGGTAGGAGTGTGCGTGTGGGTGTGTGGGGGCGGGGGGGTGGGGGGGCGGCCGGCGCTGATCTTTTCTCTGCAAACATTCCGCTTCCTCCGAGAAACTCCTCCCCTTCGGAGAACTGTAGCCTACAGACCGGCACTGGCTGCTCTGACCCGGAGCGGGAGCCAGGGCTGGGGTGGGAATTGCGGGGGAGTGTTGCCCACTCGCAACAGCTGCCTCGCTGCCGCGACCCCATTGGCTGGAGGCGTTGTAACCTTGGCCCTCAAGCTCTGGCCCCGGGCCGGGTCATGTTGCAACCTGATCGTCTCAGGCGCCAGACCAATGTGGAAAGTTCAAATTCCCATCCCTCCCCCCAACACCCGCCCCCCTTCATATCACAGACCGCCTGAGCCGGCCATCTGAGGTCCCAGTACACCAGGTGCGGGCACCCCTCCTCCCCAGGCTCCCCTCCCCGCCCCCCATTTCTCACCCCTTCTTAACTTCAGCTTCCCAGGTTATATTACATGCACCTCTCTACCTGGGCCGGCTAACACCCACCCCTAACCCCAGACCATGGGTGACCAAAAGGGGAGGTTCAGAGGAGGTGGCAAGGTAGGGGACAGAGCACATTCCAAGAACTGCCCCCACTAAGAGGCCGACTGGAAGCTGGTGTGACTCCGATGGGGGGGCGGGGGCAGCTGGGATGGAGAGAGCTGTGCTTTCTCCCTAAACAACCAGAATATTCACTCCCTCAGGCCTTATGCTCCAGGGATGGAAGTGGAGCCCTTGGGTTCCCCCATTGGGTAGAGGAAAAAACTGAGGCTCAGATTGGGATTGTGTTTTAGCCCTTTAGACCCCTAATTATTGGGGCTCCCTGGAGGGAGAGGCTTGGGGAAGCAATCTCTAGGCCCTAGAGTCTAGGGTATCCCAAGAGAGTGAGTGGATGGGAAGGGACAGCAAGGCAATGGGTCCAGAGGTGTTGGGAGGAACTGGCCAGCTTGACCCGGAGGAGAGCCTGGGGAAGCCTGGCCAGCTTCACCCTCAGAAGGGCAGTGTGGGCAGAGGAAGGACTTTTCTAGGAGGAACCCCATGTTCCATGGTTCTTTGGGTGGAAACTCCAGGGAGGCAGGTTCTGGAAGTCCCAAGCATACACTTCGTTCATGGTCAGAGCTGGCCAGAGCCATGGAAAGAATGGCCTCGGGGAAATGGGGGAGCAAGCAGGACCCTGCCTGGGAGACTCCAAGGGAATTGCTGTAAGGCAGATATGTGGGGGAGTAGGGGAAACTGAACTAGGAGTTCTGAGTTTCCCCATCCCATCCCCAAGATTTCCAGATTTTCTTCTGGTCGTAAGAAGTCCTTGAAGTCTGGCTTCAGGCTTATTGCTCCGGGTTGCCTCCCGCCCCCTCCCGGAGCCAACAAGTTCAGCACAGACTTTCCTCCTGGGCTTAGATTTTGTCACCGTCTCATCTCCTCTAGTCTTACCTGGCCACAACACTATAACCTCAGAAAGAGGAAAGGCAGGCAGGCTGGAGGTGGGGCACTGGGTGACCAGAGTGGGCTGGGAGGTTTGCTGGGATACAGGCAGGGGCAATAAACTCAGAAGGCTCCTCAAACCCCCCAGGTGCCACAAAAAAAGCTGGCCCAAGATGTGTCAGAGTACTCTCCCATTTCTCCAGACAGATGGTGTTTATCTAACTTAGGAGGGAGGGGGCCAGCGAGCGGGTCTGTGCGCTTGGGTTATGTACTCTATTTGGGTAATGAGGCCTGATGTGCCCTAGGGTGGCTGTCCACCCCTCTCCCTATTCCAAAGCAAACACAGGAGCTTGGAGACCAAAGAGGAGAGGAGACCTAGTGACCTATGCACCCAAGGGGCTGTGGGAGTCAGACTGCCACCTACCTGTCCCTTACCCCCTGGATAGAGAGAGGCCCCTCTGCAGAGCAGGCCTAGTGTCTGAAAGACTAAGACTAAGCCTTGAGGCCTCAGCCTTCTCTGTGAATAAGGGTTGGAGAAGGTGGGCCAGAAGAGACTGGTGTATAACCCTGGCTTGTGGACCATGAGGAGGGAGGGACGAGCAGGGGTCTAAGACCCTGAACATCTTGACCTCCTAGGTCAGCTCCCTGGAGGTGGCAAACTTGGCCTGTGCCTAGAGGACACTGAGAGGCAAGCTCCTCATCTGTGTTGGCCTTTTCATCTCATGAATTTAATTGACTGCTAGGGTTCGGTTTAGGGTCAGGATGCTGCCTCCCCCCTGCTCACTACTCCATCATCTCAGATGCCTTCCTTTGGATCTGAATGGTATTGTCTTGGGCACACCCCTGAGAAGGGGCATACCTTCCAGCTCCATCCAGATTGCCATTCTAGGATTTGGGGCTGGGCAGACACCAGAAGGGCAATGAAAGGCAGTGGCTGGCTGCTTGGAGGCCACCTCTGGTGAAGTGGCTTCCTCTCCTTGCCAGATAAACCTTACCCATTCCCTTGACCCAGGGAGCCAGCTAGACTGGTAAAAAAAAAAAAAGTCACAGGGCCTGGGCGAGTCTCTGCCATGTGATCTTGGGTATGTCCCTCTCTCTTCCTGATCCTCAGTTTCCTTCAGTGAGAACTGTATCTAGCTGGCCTACAAGACAGTTGCTTGTAAGGCCACTGGATAGTATTATGAAGATTAAGCTGATAAACAGGCTCCAGTCCTGGCTCTAGTTCTGGTAGTAGATTAACAAGCAGATCTCACCAAAGAACACAAGGTCCCCTAGTGGGGACCTGGGAGGGTATTTTATTACTTTTTTTGTTAATCCTCACCTGAGGATATTTTTCCATTGATTTTTAGAGTGGAAAGGAGGGGGAGAAACAGAGAAACATTGATGTGAGAGAGACACCTTAATTGATTGCCTCCCTCACACACCCCAGGGCCAGGGATTGAGGTATGTGCCCTCGACCAGAACTGAACCTGGGACACTTCAGTCCATTGGCCTATGCTCTATCCTCTGATCCAATCCAGCTAGGTCTGAGAGGGTATTTTAAAGCCTGACTTTCAAGGTAGGAATTTCAGACAGGTTACAGAGAGGGGCAGGATTTGAGAGGATCCTCAAATTGCCCACCATAGATGAGTGCCTAGTGCTTGTGTAGAGCCAGCCTCTGCAGAAGCCCCTTTTCCCCACCCTTAGCCCTGACCCAGCCCTTCCCTCTGACAGTGGTAAGCTGGTGTCTCCCAAGTGGAAGAATTTCAAAGGTCTCAAGTTGCTCTGCCGAGACAAGATCCGCCTCAACAACGCCATCTGGAGAGCCTGGTATATCCAGTGTGAGTGGGTACCATGGGCCTTCCCAGCCCAAGGGCTGTGGGAGGGGGTGGGGGGTTGGGAAATAGCTACCCAGGAATCCCAGCTTGCACCAACAGAGTGTTTTGGGAGTATCACCACAAGCACCCCTGAACAGCTTCTGACCCCCAGAGAATCTTGGGGTGTCCCTGGCACTCTCTAAGAGTGCTCTCCATTGTAGAGCTGGGCACAACAGAAGTCACCCCTTGGAAGCCCTAAGTTGTCCTGAGATTTGGGAAACAGTTCAAGACTCATTCTGCATCCCAATAGTATAGTCAGGTGCTTCAATGCCAGGTTAGAAAGAGGTGTTAGACGCTCTCTGGGCCAATTCTGTCACTTTGCAAATGGGGAAACTGAGGATCCTGCATGGGTCTCTTCCAGCCTTTCATTAAAGTCCTTACTGAACTCCCACCAAGTGACCCCATGGAGATTTGGGGGGATAGGGCCCAGAGAGGCCACGTGGTAGAGTTGAAGGACTCCAGAGTACACAGAGCTGGTTTCCCACCCTGTTCCTGTCACTTGCTGGCTGTGTGACTGCAGGCAAGTTGTCTAACCTCTCTGAACCTACTTCCTCATTTATAAAATGAGGCCAATAGCCCTGCTTTCATGGTTGGCGTGGGGATAATGGGTATGAACCAGCCTGGCACAAAGTGCTCAGTAAATGATGGTTGAAACTGAGGTACCCTTGAGAAGATCATATTCATTTAGGGATACAAGACCCCTTCTCCTTCCCCCTGGCAGGACAGCAGAGGCTGGGAAATAGACTAATTGGCCCCATATTGGGACCCTGTCCAGCTTAGGTAGGTTCTGCTGCAGGATCAAAGGCTGTGCTAAGCTGGGAACACATAGCCCAGGAGGAACCAGTATTCTCCGTACTGGCCCCACAGGATTCCACCTAAGTAGGAAGAGAGTGTGTGTGTTTTGGGTTATTATTCATCTCTGTGTTCAGCGCTTTCCTAAATCATCTTATTTGAGGCTCCCTAGCATCCCTGAGAGATAGGTATTATTACCCCCATTTTATACATGAGCCGGTGAGGCCCAAAATGCAAGTGATTTGTTCAGGGCCACGGAGCATAAAAGGAGCAGAGCTGTAGCTGGGAGGTCCGGGGCTCTCCAGCTGCGAGCCCAGTGCTCCTTGATTGAATCCTGCTGACTGGCTTCCAGTCCTCACCTGAGAATGGGCCTGACCACACCGGGGGAGCTGATAGACCAGGGGAATCAGTATCACTCTCTGTCCCCCCTTTTCTACAAAGCTGGATGGGGTGCAAACCCGGGGTCCTCACCCAGACAGACTGTGGTCTCCAGCTGTTGTACAAGTTGTTAGAAGGACCCCAAGTTCTGAGTCATACAAAGGTGGGTTTGAGTCAAGTTCTAGGATGCCCCACTATGTGAACTTTGCAAAGTCCCTAGCCTTCCCTGACGCTTGCTCATCTATTAGGTGGGCATGATAATAGGTTTTACTGCTGAGGTCTGCTGTGAGTTTTCAGTGCCATCACATCTCAGCACCAGGCAGTCACACACAAGGACTCCCTGAGAGTGAGCCCTCGGCTCTATCTCTATTGTTGTGATAATAGCAAGAGCATAGACAGGCAGAGAACAAATGTCAGGGCTCCTCCTCCTCCCTGAGCACTAAAGGTTTGGAGGTGGGCTTCAGAAAACAGAGGGTGGGGGCGGTGACCGCTGGAGGGCTGCCTGGCTCATCCCCAGGCACCTGCCACCTCTCTGCAGGCTCCTGGCCTCCAGAACCCCTTCTTTCCCCCAAACTCATCTCAGTTTCCTCTGAACTTCCAGAGCACTGTGCCCCTTTCATGGGCAGGCTCTCCACCTGGCATTAGCTCATGTTATGTGTGTGCTTTCCTCATCTCGACCACTAAGCTGTGAGCACCCTGAGTCATCCCTGGATTCTGACTCAGCTATTATCCCAGCATAGGTGCAAGGGGCTAGGTTGCTGCATGAATGGATGAATTTCTCATTGTTAAATAAAGCCTGCCCCACCTCCAGGTCACTGCCCTTTTGTCCAGAGCACAGTGTCCCTGGGTGGGGGAGGACAGAGTAGACCAGGCCTGCTCAGCCCTGACTCTCTCGGGCCCCTAGGCAAACTTACTCTTTTCTACTGCTCATTTCCTCATCTGGAAAGCGAGGGACAGATGCTTTTTTGGGACCCTTATACCCTTGGGAGTCCACATACCTAAGGGCTTTCCTTTTGTCTTCTGTCCAAGCAGGCTCAGCAATCCTCCTCAATCTCCTAGGGATCATTTTGGAGAATGTTCTTTAAGTTAGAACTTTGTTGACCGTCCCAAGAAATGTCATGTTCAGGTGATCTCCCTCCTCTGTGTCAATTGTCCCAGAGGAACTTCACTCAGGGCTTCGGCAAGATGGGCCCCCACAGACACCCCTGAAGTCCTTTGTGTCAAGAATATCAGAGAAAGTCACTGTTCGGGATTTTGAAGTCCTGGGTGCCAACCTCTGTGTCAGATGCAGGAATTCTGGGCTAAAGGGCGCAACTCCTGCTTGCACTCCCAGCGGGAAGGCCAGCATTCAGAGAAATGGCTGAGGCAGGTGACGACGGAGGCAGGCCTAACCAGGGTGGCTCAGAGGAGGGAAGGTTTTCTGGAAGAGGAGCTGCTCTGGGCTATCAAGGGAGGGGCTTTCGGCTTCCAGGTGGGGCATTAAGGAGACAGAAAGGCAGGGAAAGCGGTGGAACTAGTCCTGAAGGGCTTGGGAGCCACTCAGGGGTGTGGACTTTATCATGGAGGTTTAGGGAGCCCTGGAGGGGTTCAGGCCTGAACTGCGCTTTAGGAAGAATTGACCTGGCTGCAGCAGGAAGTGGGCTAGAGAGCGTGAGCCTGGAGTCAGAGAGGTCTAGGTGAGAAATGGCAACGGACCAGAGGGTTACAGTGAGAGGGGGGGTGGGGGGAGTGTGTGTGGGGGGGAGAACACTGGAAGAAATGTCACATATCCGTGGGATTGAGATGGTTAGTCCGTGGATTAAACAGGAACCAGGAGTGAGTGCTGGCAGTCCCGAGCAGGCACAGGCTGGAGAGGGAATGTTGCAGACATCTGAGAGTGACAAGTGTTGGGACATCCTAGTGTGGGGTCCCTAGCAACTGGGGGATGGGTCTGGAGCTGGAAAGGGGCAGATGAGCATGGTTGGGAGGTGGGCACGGGGGCAGATGCTGAGTACAGAGGTGAGGGTGAGACTGGGAGGTACAGAAGTGGAGGTGGCAAGTGACATGCTTGTTCTAGAGTTTGAAGGGAAAACGAAGGGCTAGCTGGTCGGGTAGCATAGGGAAGGAAAAGTTTGGGAGGTAAAGGAGAACCTGGAATGTGTTTAGAGGCCAAAAGAAAAGGGCCTGGAGAGAGATCAGGATTGGAGGCAGGAAAGGGAGTGGACGAGGTGAAAGGGGACTCAGGTAGGTGCCCTGAAGTGGACAAAGGGTGGTTCTCTGAGATCACATTGGGCAGTGCCAGGGAGCCTGAGGCAAGGGCCAAGGGCTCGGGGCCCTTGGCCTGCCAATCTGACCAGAATGTTCTAGAGGCCAATCTGACCAGGATGTTCTAGAGGCAGCTCCCTCCCTGTGGCCCCAATCCCATTCAACAAGCATTCCTTTCACACCTACTGGCTTGGGTTAGTTTCACAGGGTTGCATGGAGGAGGGAATGAGGTAGTGCTAGAGGAGAAGGCTAGAAGGCTTCCTAGAAGAGGTGACACTTAATCTGACCGTCGAAGGCCAGGCAGCATCCCTAAGGGTTGCACCTGAGTCCCAGTCCTTTGGGGGTGCAAGACGAGGGAGCTGGGCACCCCTGACCCGGCCCCCTTCTTTAGACGTGGAGAGGAGGAAGAGCCCCGTGTGTGGCTTTGTGACCCCCCTGCAGGGGCCTGAGGCTGACGCGCATCGGAAACCGGAGGTAGGTGAGACTAAGGGGACCACCGCCCACCTACCTCCTCCCCGAACCCGGCCCCTCCCTCGGGCCCCTCTCTGCACTGGGCGGGAGGGGCCGGCAGAAGGGGATCGCGTGGGGGAGGGGGGGTGAAGTCAGTGCTGCCCCTCGCACGGAGCCCCCTCCCGGTCTTCTCCAGGCTGTGGTCCTGGAAGGAAATTACTGGAAGCGGCGCATCGAGGTGGTGATGCGCGAGTACCACAAGTGGCGCATCTACTACAAGAAACGGGTCAGTGGGGACCCCGGGGGACGCGCCGGACTTTTCCCCGGCCGGTGCTGGCCACCGCTCCTCTTGGAAGAGCCCAAGGAGGTGCCCCCGCCCTCCGTTAAGACCCAGGCTGACAGCGCCCTCGTGTGGCCATAGGATCTTCTCGCGGCCTCCTTACTTCCCCGGGAGGAGGAGCTCCTGAAGGGAAGTGGGGGTCCCTTTGATTTGGTGGAGCTTCTGAGTAGAGGAGGCCTTGGCGGGGAGTGATGGAGGAGGGGCAAGGAATCCAGTGTCCACGTCTGTGTGTTCCTGCAGCTCCGTAAGTCCAGCAGGGAAGGGGACCTCCTGGCCCCAAAGCAGGTGGGTGTTCCCTGGACCCAGAGAATTTACAGCGTCTCTCTGGGTGGGCAAGGCAGTGGCGACGGGGGGAGGTGTGAGGGTGGAACGTGAGGGAAGACCCTAAGCATAAGGCATGGCCTCTGTCCTCTGGCTGATTAACTGAGCCCTTCGCACCTTGCAGACGTGGTGGGAAGACCGTAGGGCTCTGGTTGACTGAGCAAGTGGTGGGGAGGCAAGGGGGAATAACGGGTCCTAAAAACTACCCTGCGATCCCTGGCAGGAACAAGTAGAGGAGGCAGGAGGTGGTGCCCTTATCTCCCGATCTGGCTCCTGTGGGTAGTTGTTAGAGGCCAATGGGGTGACCCTAGTCTTCCAGGCAGTGCACTGGGTCCACCAGAGAGATGCGAGGACGGTGCAAAGAGAGGCCGTCTGGCTGGCTGACGACTTCACCCCCCAGGCAGGCAGGGGGTGGTGTGGAAGGGCCAGGGGAGGTGGGAGACCCCCGTGTCTGCAGCCTGGGGAGGAGGAGGAGCTGTGGAGCCCTCAGGCTGCGACTGCGGACTCTGTCTCCCTAGGTGGAAGGAGGATGGCAGCCACCAGAGCGATGGTGCGAGCAGCTCTTCTCCAGCGTGGTGCCTGTGCTGCTGGGGGGCCCAGAGGAGGACCCCGGTGGGCGGCAGCTTCTGGACCTCGATTGCTTTTTGTCCGACATCTCTGACACGCTCTTCACCATGACTCAGCCCAGCCCCACACCCCTGCAGCTGCCCCCCGAGGACGGTGAGGGCCTGCACCCAGGAAAGGAGGCCTGTGAGAATCCAGGCAGCCAAGGGAGGATGGCCGGGGACAGCTGTCCCCATTCCACCCTTCCTGCTGCTCCTGACATCACCATTGCCCCCTCCAGCCTACGTTGGCAACGCGGACATGATCCAGCCGGAGCTGACACCTCTGCAGCCCAGCCTGGATGACTTTATGGAGATCTCAGGTGGGGCAGCCCCTCCCCTGGAGTGGAAGGGCAGGGTCCGTGCAGGAGAGCCCTCAGGCCAGTTCTATGCCCCTCTGGGAGGGCAGATGGTCTGAGTGACTTCTGAGGGATTTTCCTGGTGTCCCTGTGGCTGCCCTTGGGGTGAGGCTGGTGTGGCCTTAGGTGAGAGCAGGGCCAGACCCAGTTCCTGGGTAGGGATCAGGGGACCAGGGTCATTGAAGCTTCAGACTCTGGGAGCTGCCAGGAAAGCAGGGGATGCTGGGACTCTCTCAGGGGAGAGGGGGACTGTGATTTGTTTGAATCTATTTATTTACATAATTCATTAAAAAACTATTTATTAAAGAACATTTCAAACACAGAGAGAGTTCAATAAATCCCCATGTAACTATCACTGATTTCAACATTTATCAAATCTTGGCCAGTCTTATTTTATCTAGACCTCACCCACTTCTCTCCTCCTATGTTATTTTGAAGAAAATCTCAGGAATTATATCTGGTAAAGCATTTTTTTTAAGTTGTATGTTTCCCTGCCTCCCCCTCTGACCCCAGGGCCACCAGGTCACAAGAGTATGTCCTTCCAGAGATGCTCATGTCTATATAGAAAAAGCACACACAACAGACTCTTCCTGACGTTGCGTTTCTTCACTGAGCTCTAGATCTTGGAGACTGCCCCTGACATTCAGACACTGAGGGGCCTTCATAGCCATTCCAGTGATCAGGTAGACATCGGGTCTCAGACTGTCTCAGCCAAGGCCTAGGGGGCAAAAGGGGACTCCTGGGATAAAGGCTTAGTTTCGGTGACCCCCTTCACTCCTTCCCCACAGGGTCCTGGGCCTATCAGTCAAGAGGTGGAGGCCTATAGGGCGGGGACTAGGGAATGAGGAACCACCCCCACCCCTGCCTCAGCCCTGGACAGGGGTGGGGGCTGAGGGGGCAGAAGTGTTGATGGCAGTGTCCTGGGAGCAGACCAGCCTGGGAGGGCAGCCGCCCTATCTGGGCACACAGACCCCTGCCACAGGTAGGAGCTCAACTGCCCCCACCCCGGGAGCTGGGCGAACCCTGGGGCCAGGAAGTGACTTCTCTCAGCCTAGGGTGGCTACTGGGGTGGGGATGGGGGGCAAGTATGGGTGGCCTATGGTCAGGGGTGTCATGCAGAAGAGGTGGCTGTGTGGCCTCCTCTAGTGCTCTGTGCACTTGGAAGGCAAGGAGCACTGGGGTTGCCGCGGCTGCTGCTGTGATTGTCCCCAAGAGCTCCTCACTTGAAAGGAAACCCATGAGGGGCTGGTGAGGGGAGGGTTCCATGAGGGGTAAGGGGCTTGGTGAGGGTGCTCAGAGAAGGAAAGGGAGCTTGGATGAGAGAGGGGCTCAGGGCGAGGATGGTAGGTCAGTGGAGGGAACCGAGGCTAGGGAGGGACTCGGTGGGTGGCTAGGGCTAGCAAGCAGCTTCTCTGGAGGCTGGGTGGGGACATGGCCACAATCTCAGATAAGGGGATGGTGGTGACTCAGTGATGAGTGGGGCTTGCAGCTCCATGAGGCCTGCCAAGCCCTGTGGAGACAGCAACAGCAGGGAGCAGGGGCTGCTCTGTGGCCCTCAGCATCCTGGGGCCAGGCCCAGGACAAGGCTGGTCCTAGAGCCCAGGCTTGAAGGGGTGTAGTGAGGAGACCTTTGGGCCCTGGGGGCTGGGGAATGGAAGACCAGTGACTGCTCACCCTCTGCCACCCAGTTCTTCATTAAAAGGAGGCAGCAGGACAGTAAGACTATATCCCTTATGACTGTGTGGCCAAGAAAACACACACACACACACACACACACACACACACACAGACATGGACACAGGGCAGATAGGCACACACCAAGCACCTCACATCAGGGCAGGTACACACAGACTTACAGCTACAGACAGTGGGACAGACAGGGAGGGAGACAGATGCTGCATGAGACCACACACTGATATGTGGAGCCAGCTGCCCTGTCACATGTGAGTCCGAGTCACAAGAGATGTACACACAGGTTTGACGCCCATCAGGCTCAAGGTTTGGTGTGGTTTTCTCTGTCTCATTCCTGGGTCTCCTTTAAGGGGGCCTTCGGGGGAGAGGCCTTACCAGCTCCCTTGGCTGGGAGTCTGGGGCCCACCCAAGGCCAGTGGGGTCGGGTCTGACCAGACAAGGAGGCCTTGGGAGCTGGTGCAGACTGAAAGCTGACCAGGGTCAGAGAAAGGTGCCCGGAAGGGAGCGGGTGGGCAGGCGGCACCCATGCCCGGGATGTGGTTAGGCCACAGGCAGCTGCTTCCCAAAACCAGAATAGCCTGGGGCTTACACAATCCGCACCTCAAATAATCTGGCTGCCCCCCACCCCCAGCTCTTCCCGGCTTTCCAGGACCCCTCACTCCAGCCCCCTCTCTGAGCCAGTCCTCTGACCCCTGCTATCACCCCCTTAGCTCTTTCACCCCACTCCTGGATTCTACTATTGAAGTTCCATTTGTTGACCTTCCAGCAAATCTTGTCCCAGACACACTGACCTCCTGACCCCTCTTACCCCTAACTCACCTCTTGAACTTGAGTCACTGTGGGGCTCCTCCCTTGGACCTCGCCCCTTCCCCTCCCTGTCATACTCTATTACCCTCCCCCACTTCAAGTTCCCCAGCAGGGCTGGTAACTGGAGCAGACAAAGGGAGGGCCCAGGCCCGGGGATGGGAAAGGGGGGCCACATGAGCCAAGCGTGGGGCTTGGTTGGAGGGCTACTTCTGGGGTCCTGCTCACAAGCCTACCAGTCCCCTGCTGTCTCCCACTCAGGCCCATCCCACCCGAGCCTATGTTGCTGCTTCCCCTGAGTGAGACAGAAACTCTCCCAGTTTCACAATCTCCTGTGGAAGCCCCCCCTTCCCCCCTGCCCCAGCCCAGCCTGGGGACAGGGCACGAGGCCCGCTCTCCTCCCACAGCTTCCAGCTGCCAGGGCCTTAGCCCTAACTGCTGCCACCCTGTGTGTCTGAATTACAGATTTCTTCACCAACTACCGCCCCTCTCAGACAGCCACGCCTTCAAACTTCCTGGAGCCCCCCAGCTTCAGTCCCATGGCGGACTCCCTTTTCAGCAGCGGGATCCTGGGCTCAGAGGTGCCCCCCGCCTCCTCAGGCATGAGCCACCTCTCAGGGCATAACCACCAGCAGGTGAGTTCAACCCACTCCACCCAGCCCTACCTTGCTCACTTGCCCATGTCCAGGAGGCATTCTGGGTACTTTCTGAGTGCCCAGTCCTGTGCTTGTTGGGTCCACTGGGTAAGACTGGAGGGGAGAAAGATCCTGGGAGGGTGCAGTTCAGCTGGAGAGGAAAGATCCTCCGGAAGCAGAACTGACAAGATGGCTGGGGGGAGTCAGGCTGGGCAGGAGGAGCATGGAGCAGGCACCACCAAGGGCCGGCTTGCTGTGGAAGGCTTCTAGGAGGACGGGGAGTTCTGGGTCTTAGTGTACAGTTCGGGTTTGGACAGAAGAGACCCGTAGAGGGCAAGTCAGATGGGAGGAAAAGCTCAAACGAGTGCATGGAGGCCGAAAACTGAACATGTGTGTTTAGGAAACAGTGACTACCATTTTGGCTCAAGAACTCCCAGACCCAATTCGGATGTTGTCTCCCTGCTGCTTGGTTAGATGCCTTTCCCTCCATCATCAGACTTTTCAGGCACTGTTGTAGTTATTATTGAGGGGTCTCTCTCCTGGACTAGACAGTGAGCACCTTCCTGGAAGAGCTATGTTTTGCTCACCTCTGCATCTTCCATACCTACCACTGTTCAAGCACATGAACAGCACTGGGTAAATGATGGCCCGATGATTGAGCAAGTGAGTGAATGAATAAGTGTATGGATGGATGGGTGTGTTGGAAAATGAAGAGATGGGTTGTAGATGGGGCTCGATACTTAAATGAGTTGGTGTATATATAGGTAGGTGAGTGGTTGGTTGGGTGGATGGAGGAATTCATAGATAAAAGAATAGTTTGGTGGATCAGTGAATGGGCTAGTGGGTGGATAAGTGGCTAGTCAATGTATGGTGGATGAATGAAGGAGGCATAGATGGTTGGATGGATTGGTGAATAGGTTAGTACCTGGTGGGCTGGTGAAAAGATAGATAAACTAGCTCATAGGTGAGAGAATAAATAGGTAGGTGGATGGATGGATGGAAGAATGGATGCATAAATTATTTGGTGAATGAATGAAAGGTCAGGAAAACTGATGCTCTTTCTCATGCCTAATTTATGCATAAATGTGTTCTACTCTCTATCCTCATTAGATTATAATTTCCCTGCTGTGTGGGTTAAAGGGCAGGGATCATTTCTCTTATCTCTCCCAGTGCCCAGTCCAGAGCTCAGCCAGGGCAGGAGGCTGCCTGGGTGGCTATAAAGGCCAGCTTTCTCCCCTGCTCTCTGTCTGTTCCCCCCAACCAGGCTCGGAGCAGCTGCCCTGGCTCCCTGGACTCCAGTGTCTTCCTGAGCTCTGACTTCCTCCTTTCTGAAGACCCCAAGCCTAAACCCCCTCCCTGTCCCACACCCCCACCCCTCCTCCAATACCCCCCTGCCCCTGCCAGAGGGCCTGGCCTGGAGCCCTGTCCCCTACCCCTCTTCCCTCCCATGGCCCCGCCCCCTGCTATGCTGCAAGAGGAGCCTCTCTTCTCTCCCAGATTCTCCTTCCCAACAGTCCCTCCTGCGTCAGGAGTGTCCCCCCTGCCTGCTCCCACAACCTTCTCACCTGCCCCACAGTCTGGCACAGGCCCTGCCCCCACCCATTTCCCCATGGACCTTCTATCCTCGGGGTATCCAGAGCCCCCCTTTGGGCCTCACTTCACAATGCCCCAAGGTGTGCAGCCCAGAGGCAAGCCCCCTACCCCATCCCCTAGGGAGCGGAAGCCCAGTCCTCGGACCTTGGCCCCTGCCATTGCTGGGGGCAACAATTCCTGCCTCACACAGCTCCTCACAGCAGGTGAGATAGAGGGGAGGGTTGACAGAGGGTGAGACAGGAACCAAATGTGGAAGGGGGGAGCCTATGGGTGCAGAGGGTAAAGGTTAAGGAGCAGACTCAGCTGGGGGGGACAGGGTGTTGAGGAATTAAGGACATGACCCCTGAACCCGAAAGGGGTGTGGGCTACTTGGAGTGGAGGGATGGGGTCTTAGGAGATAACCTGAGAGAACCCTCACAGTCTGCTTGTACACAGCCAAGCCTGAGCAAGCCCTGGAGCCACCTCTTGTATCCAACACCCTCCTGCGGCCCCCAAAATCCCGGGTAAGATGGCAGACTCAGGAGTGGAGGGGAGCCTCAGAGCTTCACCCCAGCCCTCCATTTTTCTCCACCTGAGAGCTTCACCCCAACTCTCCACCCTTCTCTTCAGGAGACGGTCCCTGAATTCCCCTGCACCTTCTTTCCCCCGACTCCGGCCCCCACACCACCCCGGCCATCTCTGGGCCCGGCCACACTGGCCCCTCCCAGGCCCCTGATTGTCCCCAAAGTAGAGCGGCTGTCACCCCCAGCACCCAGCGGTAAAGAGGGGTTGCAGGGAATGGAGGACTCTAGGGGTTGGAGGGAGGGGAAGGAAGAAGGGGGGACTATATCTGGGGCCAGGACAAGAGGGACAGGTCAATGGGACCTGCTCCCCTGTGTTGGTCTGTCTGTGGGTCTGTCTATCTCTGCCACAGGTGGTGAACGGCGGCTGTCTGGGGAGCTTAACTCCATGCCGGGCCCAGGGGCTATGAGTGTCCGAGTCTCTCCGCCTCAGCCCATTCTAAGCCGGGGTCGTCCAGACAAGGTGCACTATCCCCTCACCCTAAGATCTCTTTGCTACCTCTATGCCCTCCCACATTCCTTCCTAGGCTCACCCCACTTTCTGTCCCCCGACCCAAGACTGAAAACCGACGCATCACACACATATCTGCGGAGCAGAAGCGGCGCTTCAATATCAAGTTGGGGTTTGACACCCTGCATGGGCTGGTGAGCACGCTGAGCACCCAGCCCAGCCTCAAGGTGAGCCCCCTACCCAAGATGATACCCCCAGAGCCACAGGGCTCTTCATGAACCCCCTGCTTAAGACCAAATCTCAGGACCCTCCAGATACCCGGTTGCCTCCTCCCGCCTCCCCAGTGCCTGAGTGGGTCCCAGCACCCCACACTGGTGATGCCCACAGGTGAGCAAAGCAACGACACTGCAGAAGACGGCCGAGTACATCACCATGCTGCAGCAGGAGCGGGCAGCCTTGCAGGAGGAGGCCCAGCAGCTACGGGACCAGATTGAGGAGCTCAATGCTGCCATTAAGTAGGCAGAAACCTGCAGGTGCTGGGACAAGGGGAGCCAGTTACCTGAATCTCGACCTCTGACCCTCTCCATGCCCCCCCAGCCTATGCCAGCAGCAGCTGCCGGCCACTGGGGTGCCCATCACACACCAGCGTTTCGACCAGATGCGAGACATGTTTGATGACTATGTCCGGGCCCGCACACTGCACAACTGGAAGTTCTGGGTAGTATCCTCACTGGGCCAGCGGCAGGGTGAGTGCTGCAGCCAGACCAGGTTGTGCCTGGCTGCAGGCTCAGCTTTAGAGGCCAGGCAGGGTCTCAGAGCTGCTTCCAGGGGAAGAGACTCCAGTTTCAACCCCTCCTTCCAGGCGTAGGCATCTTGGCCAGCAGGATTGCCCAGTGATGGGCTGGGAGCAGAGGGAGGAGCCCCTGAGTGGGGGGACCATAGCCCTGCCTACAGAAAGTCCCAAGGGAAGTTTGGGGGAATCTGAACTCTGAGTGGCATGAGCGGGCTGGACCCTAGGAAAGACATGGCATTGCTTACCCCCTCACCTAATCAAGCTCTTGACTGACCCAGGCAGGAAGCCTAGGAGTGTAGGCTAGTCCAGCCCAGAAGAAGGGCCATGGCGGAGCTGAGGCAGTCATCTGGGCAGGCCTTGGCAGGATGAGAGGATGGCTGCAGTGGGGGTCCTTGGGGTTCAAGGCTTCACAGTCACCAGGCCTCTCCCCTGGTTTGGGCCAGATGTCAGGGCTACCTGTGAAGTGGGTGAGGATACTGGCTGGACAACAGGCCTGTTCCTTGACCTGGGCCAGTTCAGCATCCTCATCCGGCCTCTGTTTGAGTCCTTCAACGGGATGGTGTCCACGGCAAGCTTGCAGAGCCTCCGTCAGACCTCGTTGGCCTGGCTGGACCAGTACTGCTCCCTGCCCGCTCTCCGGCCAAGTACGTGAGCCACTTACCTGCCCAGTGGGATGTCCAGGCCTCAGGGCAGAGGATTCCACTCTGCTCAGACCCCAGGTGCAGCCTGCCTTCAAAATAGCCTAGGGTTTTGGCTATCCCACCGTGCTTTCTGGATGGTTCCCCGGCTACCAAGACACTACAGACAGTCTTGCCAACCAGCATCTCCCCCTACCCCATTGTCTTCAGCATCCAAGGGTAGGGCCCTGACCACAGGAGGTGTCTCTCTCTCTTCCCAGCTGTCCTGAACTCTCTCCGCCAGCTGAGCACATCTACCAGTATCCTGACGGACCCAGGCTGTATTCCTGAGCAAGCCACACGGGCAGTCACAGAGGGCAAACCATTATAGTGCTGACCAGACCCTGCCGTTCACTCAGCTGCCGTGGGGACTACTTTCCCTGGACGTGGGCTCCAGACACAACTCCTGGGCACTCCCTTCCTGCCCCAGGCCCTGCTTGTCCCCTTTCCTGAGAGCTAAGCAGGATCTTAGCCTCTTCCCACCTCCTGGAAGTCAGAAAACACTGAGTTCCAGTGTCTGCTCTGCCAGTGACTACACTGTGACCTAGGGGACTCATACTCCATCTGTGGACCTCCATTTTCCAGTCTGCAAAATGGGGGTGAGGAAGCTTCAACCAGATGATGATCCCAAGGCCTGAGCAGCTGTGACACTTGGGCCTAAACTGGCAACTCAGGGAACTTAAAGGAGAAAATGGGAAGATCCTATTCCTCTGTCACTCCCACCTGCTCCCCAACAGGTAGAGCACACGCCTCTGCTTCTGAGCAGAGAAGCAGAAAAGGGGGTTCTCTCTGTTCCTTCATTGGTAACCTGGGGGCGCTGCAGGATAGCATCCCCGGGTGGATGAAGCCTAGAAGTTCTGGTATCAGAAGAGCACACAGCAGGGGGGGTGGCCAAGCCAAGGCAGGCATCGTGTGTGTGTGTGTGTGTGTGTGTGTGTGTGTGTAGAGTATCAATTCATGCATATCAAGGAATCACACACAAATTTGTAGAGCATTCTTGACCAATAAAAACACACTGTCAGGGATGGTCAGCGTATCTTGCTCTGGAATGGAGAGTCGGTTGGCAGTGGGAGGTGGCTTCGGAGCTGGAGAGCCACTGGAGGGCTATGACTAGAGGGGGGACAAGATTCGATACTAACTTCTGAACAGGATTCCTCTGAGTGCCAAGTTGAGAACAGGCCGCCATGGGGTGATGGTGAAAGTAAGGCAGCCGGAGTTAGGCTGTGGCTGTCATCCAGGCGGGAGAGGACCCTCCTCTTGGAAAGCCTCCCTCCATGGCCAGGAGAGGGTTCACAGAGGCTCACTACTTTCCAAGTTGGAAGAGGGCAGAGCTGGGATCCAGGAGTGGAAGTGACAGGGCCACCCATCAGAACCATCCAGGAGGAGAAACGTGCTACTGCAGAGAGCAGTGTTGTCCCCACTGTGCAAGATGTGCAAACTGACCAGGTGGCCGCTTGGCTGGATGTCTTACAAGGAACTGATACTTCAGATGGGAGTTGGGGTAAAAGACCCCAACACTTCATTGATCCTTTCATTGATCGATTGAACAAATATTCCCTGAGGGCCTGCTGTGAAGCAGGCGATGTTGTGGCTCTCGGGATTCTGTTCACTGCTGTACTTCTCTAATGGAGCTGACCATTCATGCCCAGCAAGTTTGAATCCTCTCATATCTCAGAACTTCTGGGGGCATTGGCCGGATATAAAGAGTCTTCTGTGGGCTTTGCCTTTCTCATTCCTATAGAATAATAACAATAACTGCATACCTATGCAGTGTTTACTACATGCTGGGCTATTCTAAGGGCTTTATCCCTACCCAATCCCTACCATACTTACCTCTACAGGCCTGTTGTGAGGATTTGAGAGTAAATGTAAGCCCTGGTCAAGTACCGGGTAGCTCAGTTAGTTAGAGCGTCATCCCAATACACCAAGGTTGCAGGTTCAATCCCCAGTCAGGGCACATATAAGAAACAAAGAGTGAATAAATAGGTGGAATAACAAATTAATCTCTCTCTCTCTCTATCTCTCTATCTCTCTCTCTCTCTCTCTCCCTCTCTCTCCTTCCCTACCTCCCTCTCAGAGCAATTTTTAAAAATATATGTAAAGCACAACAGTGCCTGGCAAAGAACCCTACATAAGAGTTATCATAGTACCCCCATTTCACAGATGAAAACTTGAGGCACGGAGAGGTTAACTAGCCCCAGGTTGCATGCTTAATGAGGTGCCCACTCAGACTGTCTGACTCATCTCTGCCATTAGATACTTCTCTTTACTGTGCAGTGACAGGTGCACACAAACTTAAAATGCTATTTGCTGCTGCAGGCCACGACTTGAGGCGGCTCTTTGAAAGGTAACATCCTGGCAGTTTGTGCTCTGCTGTTTTTCACCCACTCATAACCCACCAGGAAGATGCTCACAAGACATCCCCTGGGCTCTGTGTCCTCTAGGTGCCACCTTCCCGTGAGGAGTTGTCTTGCTCTCCCTCTCCCTCCCCCCTCCCACTTACCCCCAGCTACCTGCCTTTGGGCTCCTCCTCCCACCTTCCGGCCTAGCCATACCCCAGGACTGATTCTTTCACCGAGGTCCCTTGGCTCCTTCATTGCCAAATCCAACAACTACTTCTTTGCATGCTCTTGTCTTTCCCCAGCCCTCAGACCATCTTCTTCAACCACTCTCCTTTCGAATCCCAAATTCCTGGCAGGCTTTCCTTCCTCCTTCCTGACCGTGCCTTCCTGCTGTGGGAGCCTCATCCTCCACCAGTCCCTTTCCCTGGCCTGCTTCCCTCACTATGGCAAGTCCCAGGCAATCCCATACCCTCCACCTCTCTCCTGAGGACCTACTCTGTGTCTGTCTTGCTGGGCCCCCAGAGCTACACAACCACATATCCAACTGCCAACATGACCACTCAGTCTGAATGTTCCACAGCTTCCTTAACCTTGACGGGGTCAAAACAGAACTCATCATTCCTAAGACTGTACCCCAAGTCTTCCCCCTCAAACCTGGTCCTCTCCATGTGCTCCATCTTCAGGAAAGGTGCCACCATTCAGACACTTGTGTAAGCTGCAGTCATTCCTGGCTCCTCCCCACACCCTACTACCCTATAGTATCTGTTACAGAGGCCTGGCCAGTTGACATTGTAAGCATTCATCTCTACAGTCACTGCCCTGGCCCAACAGAACATTGTCTTTGCATGAGCCTCCTGTGTCCCTTACAGCTGCTTTTCAAACTTAAATGTGCATTTAAATAATTTGTTTTTGGGGGGGTCGGGGGAGGGCTTTAAAAATCATGATCAGGCCCAGTCTGGATTAATTAAAAAAGAATCTCTGGTTATAGGGTTTAGACATCAGCATCTCTTAAGGTATTCCCAATATGCAGCCAAGGTTAAGAGCCACTGTAATAGAGGCTTTGAGCTGCAAATTATATATATATAGGGCTCAAGTTAGATTAATTCTGATTCAGAGACTTTAATGTGTATCAGAAATCACTTAGTGGGCATGTTAAATACAGATTGCCAGGCCCCCACCTCTAAAGTTTCTGAGTCAGCAAATCTGGGATGAAGCCTAAGAATTTGCATTTCTTTCTTTTTTTTTAATATATTTTCATTGATTTCAGAGAAGAAGGGAGAGGGAGAGATAGAAACATCAATGATGAGAGAGAATCATTCATTGGCCACCTTCTGCATGACTCATCCCCTACTGGGGATTGGGCCCGCAACCCCAGGCATGTGCCCTTGACTGGAATCGAACCCAGGACCCTTCAGTACACAGGCTGACACTCTATCCAGTGAGCCAAACCTGGTAGGGCAGAATTTGCATTTCTAATGATGCTGGGTCCAGGGCTCAAACTTTGAAAATCACTGATTAAATAATGACAAAATTTATCATTCCACCTAACACAGGCCAGAGGTAAGGAAGACTCCAATCAACGCAAGGTGGATCTTCAATTGCAGATTGAAGTTATGTTTCCATTGCTTCTTTGGCTCCTACTTCCCTGCAATGATGCCAGGTTTTTGAACAGATGTTCAAGGTTTTTTGTGACTGGGCCCTGCTACCCCTGCAGCCTCATTTCTCTCCACAGCCTCCTTCCCTTCACATCCCAAGGAGTCCAGTGGTTCCTGGGATGCGTCATTCCATTTTGCCTTTACAAGTAAGACCTGATCAGCCCATGAGGGAGGCAGGCCTAAACTTTTTTTTAACAAATTTTTTCTCAAAGTTGACATACAATATTATATTAGTTTCAGGTGTATAACCCAGTGATTAACATTATATAACTTACTAAGTGATAATCCCGATAAATCTAGTAACCATCTGACACCATACATAGTTATTACAATATTATTGACTATACTAGAGGCCTGGTGCACGAATTCATGCACAGGTGGGATCCAGCCAGCCCGCCCATCCAGCCAGCCCGCCCCATCTGGGATGATTGAGGCTGGGTCGGCAGGGGGTAGGGGCTTTGGGAGGTTGGCCAGCTGGCACGACCCCCAATTGGGCCGGTTGCCTGGCTGCTGGTCACAGTGACCAGTCATTCTGGTCATTCTGCTTGCTTGGCTTTTATATATATAGACTAGCCCTCAGCCCAGCCTGTGCCCTCTCTCAGTCTGGGACCCCTCAGGGGATGTCCACCTGCTTGCTTAGGCCCACTCTCCAAGGGATCAGGCCTAAGCTGGCAGTCAGACATCCCTCTGGCAGCCTGGGAGCCCTCAGGGATGTCCACTTGCCAGCGGGGAGCAGGCCTAAGCTGATAATTGAAACTTTGTAGCCTTGAGAGGAGCTCAGAGCCGATCAGGGCAGGCAGGAGGGAAACTTGGCTTCCTTCATCACCAGGGTCAACCCAAGCCTCCTGCTTGCACCAGCTCTGTGGTATCTGGGGTTTATTTACCTTCTATAATTGAAACTTTGTTGCTTTAAGTGGAGCTCAGATCCGGCCAGGGCAGGCAGGAAGTTTGGCTTCCTCCATCACCGGGGACAACCCAAGCCTCCTGCTTGCTCCAGCTCTGTGGCCACCGCCACTTAGTTGGGTTAATTTGGTCCTGATTGGCTGGTGAGCGTGGCTGGTGGGCATGGCTTGAGCATAGCAGAGGGATAGTTAATTTGCATGTTTCTCTTTTATTATATAGGATTTCCTCTGTTGTACTTTTACCATCCCTGTGACTGTTCCATAATTACGAATTTGTACTTAATTCCTCCACCTTTTTCACCAATCTCTCTAACCCCCTCCCATCTTTTGAAAACCCAGTCCCCCAACACTCTTCCTCTCTGGGTACCCTCTTCCTCTCAGACTCTGTGTCTGAGTCTGTTTTTTGTTTGTTTTGTTCTTTAGATTTCGCATATCGGTGAAATCATATGGTATTTGTCTTTCTCTAAGCATAATACCCTCTAGGCCCATCCATGCTGTCACAAATGGTAAGATTTCATTCCTCTTTATGACCAAGTAATATTCCATTGTATAAATGTAACACAGCTTTTTTATCCACTCATCTATTGATGGGCACTTGGGTTGCTTCCATAGCCTGGCTATTGCAAATAATGCTGCAATGAACATAGGGATGCATATATTCTTTCAAATTAGTGTTTTGGGTTTCTTTGGGCAAATCCCCAAAAATGGAATGGCTGGTTCATATAGAGGCGTAGACTTTTCTGTCACCCTGGTCATATCCCTTTTTCTTTTTTCTTTTTTTATAAATTTTATTGATTTTTTACAGAGAGGGAGAGGGATAGAGAGTTAGAAACATCAATGAGAGAGAAACATTGATCAGCTGCCTCCTGCACACCTTCCACTGGGGATGTGCCCGCAACCAAGGTACATGCCCTTGACTGGAATCGAACCTGGGACCTTTCAGTCCTCAGGCTGATGCTCTATCCACTGAGCCAAACCGGTCAGGGCTGAACATACACCTTCTTACTGCATCCTTTCTCTGATCCCATCTGCAACACTCAGACAGGCTGTCATAGTCACTCCCTTTTGTACAGGAATCAGTTCTTTCTCCACACCTTTGCTCATTCCTTGTTTCCCACCTAGAATTCCCTCCTATTCTCTGCTTCACCTGTAAAAATACCCACCTCTGAAGGTATAATCAGGTCTTGATGCCCCTCAAAATTCATTGGCAGATCTCCCTCCTGATCTGCCCAGCTTTGCCAAATCCTTCTGCATGTTGACCTTGGCTTCTAAGTGGGCTTGAGGATAAGGGTAAGACCTTACTTACCACATCTCAGTGGTGTGTGAGAGGAGTGTGGATTAGGAGTGTAGCAGACCCAAGTTTGACTCTGGACTCTATCCCTGGCTTCTTTGTTGACCTTGGGCAGTGGTTGGCAAACTGCGGCTCAGAAAACTGTGGCTTGTGAGCCACATGCGGCTCTTTGACCCCTTCAGTGTGGCTCTTCCACAAAATACTGGCTCTTGTACAAAATACTGACTTCTGCGCATGGACCATGAAGTTTCAATTGCACTGTATGTGTGCGCCCACATGTGGTATTTTGTGGAAGAGCCACACTGAAGGGGCCAAAGAGCCACATGTGGCTTGCGAGCTGCCGTTTGCCGACCACGGACCTTGGGTAAGTTACTTGACCTGAGCTTATTTTTTTTCCACCTGTTTAAAGTTATTTCATAGAATCTTAAAGTTCTCTATAAAGAACAACTAAGCCCTGGCCATACACCAGGAGGGTTTGGGTTTGATTCCAGGTCATGGGTACATACCTGGGTTGCAAGTTGGATCCCATCCCCAGTCAGGCACCTGTGGGAGGCAACTAATTGATGTGTCTCTCTCACAGTGGATGTTTCTC